CCCCCCCCCCCTGCCGCTCCCCACTCACTGCACACCCCTCGACCCGTCCCGTCTGTACAATGACTCGCGGAACACGACTCCGTATGGGCAGCTGAAGGAAAAGATCCAGACCCTCGTGGGCATGTGCAAGAAGATCAAGGCCAGCAAGCAGGAGGGCGAGGAAGAAGCAGCCGCCGCCGCCGCCGCCGCTGCCGCTCGGGTCGCCGGCCTCGAGAACGACCTCACGGCCGTCAGGGAAGAGGTGGAACGCCTCCGCGAGCAGGCTGCAGGAGAGCAGGCCAGGCACGAGAACGAGCGGCGTGAGATGGAGGAGAAGCTCGCCGAAGCGCTGGCACAGGTGTGGGTGTGCAGAAGAGAGAACGGTTGGGGCGAGGATATGGAGAGAGAGAGAGTCATGCGAAACCGCGGTGAACCCAATGACGTTTCTAACTGAGAAACAGGGGGATTGCAGGTTAGCGAACGGTTGCAACCCTGAACGCCTACGCTGAAGACTGAATGCGTGAATAGATACCGGGGCGGATGTTTTCCTACCCCCAATTTTGTCCGTGACAATGATCAGGTTGGCGTGCATGTGTGTTGTGTTTTGGTGTGGCGCGTTGTCGTTGCAATTCTCATGCTCTGTGGAAGTATCCGCTATGCCGCTAGTTTTTTCACGTGTCTCGGGAGGTTCGCGGTCGCGTGGCTTCGCTCTGCCGTGAACATGAGAACATGAGATGCTGGCGCCGACACGCATGATGCTCGAAGCGTGCTTGCAAGGTTGGTTTGTCAGGCTACCGTGAGCAAAGCTAGTCGACTCCACCCCCCGCCCCCGCACCCCTCCAAGTCATCGCAACGTACCACACACAGATTTCCTGTGGTGCCCATTTGAAATTCCCTCACCTCTCGCCCGCTTCGCATCCTCCGGTGGTTCACACAACGGCAGGCGTGCACGAATTGCTTCTGAGTCTCCAAAGCGAGCAGCTCGTGGAGTTGACAGTATCTGACAGAATATGAGCATGCGACGCGATGAGTAATCCTATAGGCTAGATGACACACAATCGAAATTCGAAGTAACTGTGGGTTGGCTCTTCATGTGAAGATCCCGAATACAGAAGGCTCTGGGTCATGATGCGCTTTCCCTGCCGTTGCACGACCCCCGTGCGTTCGGATAAAAACGGCCTTCGTCGCTTCGGTTCAAGGTCGAAGCGCTGGACGCCCGCGCCGCCTCTGCGGCCGCCGAGGCCGAAGCGAGAGAAGACGAGCTCCACGGAGGCAGGATGGCAGTGGAGCAGCACCTCGAGGCCCAGCTCAAGCAGCACGACCAGGAGGCGAGGCGACAGGCCGCGGAGCTCAGGTCTGAGAAGGAAAGGGCCGACGAGGAGCACGCCGCCGAGGTGGGCCGCCTCCGCGGCGAGCTCGAGGCCGCCGCCGCTGAGATGGCCGACCTGGCGGCGAGGCTGGACGAAGCGAAGGCGAGGGTCGTCGAGGTCGAGGCGCAGAAGGAGACCGCGGAGGCCGCGGCGGCGGCGGCCGCGGCGGAGGCGGAGTCGCAGCGGGAGGAGCTGGTGCTGGCGCAGGCGACCGGCCGGCAGAAGCTGGAGGAGGCCGAGACCGCTGCTGTGGCGGCCGTTGCGGAGGAGGCCGCCGCCGACCGCACCATCAAGGAGCTGGAAGAGAGGCTGGGGCTGCTGGAGGAGAAGCTGAAGGAGGCGGAGGAGGAGGGGCAGAGAAAGGCGCAAGAGCTGTCCAACGCCCTGGAAGAGGCCACGGCGGGGAGAACAGAGGTGCGAACGAGTATAGGCGATTGCTGCTGCGGCACTATGTGTGCGTGTGTGTGATGCGTTGTCGTTTTGCACAGGTAGCCCGGACGGGCGGTTGAGCTGTTTTCAGTGGTGCATTTCGGTGCTGCAGCCTTGTGCCTCGACCTGGTCATCCTTCCAGCACCGAGACATCCTCCCGTTTCCCTCAGGGGACAAGAGGCAGAAGCAAGGCTGACGCGTGGGTACATATTTCCGGTGCCTTGGGAGAGGGCCAGGAGGATTAGTGTTTTGCCGTCCATTTGATGGTGCGTCCGGGTGCAGCGCCCGGTCTTGGAACCCCAACGTTTGCGCCGCAACTGGCCGCCAAATCCCCCACCGCCTTGTCTCCCCCCCCCCCCCAAGCCGCCCCGCCTCAGCTCCATTTCGTCCTCGCGACGCACCCGTGCTCCTCCTCGTTCGTCCAACTCCAGCTTGTTGATAAGTGCAGGGAGATGGCAGATGGCAAGGAGGAGATGGAGCAAAGGCTGCAGAAGCTGGCGGAGGAGACCAAGACAGAATTGGAGCGGCGCGACCAGGAGCTGGCAGCCGCACAGGTATGCCGGGGACGGGGGAACATGCGTCATCTGTTGTTGACGAAAGGGATGTACGACTTAGTAGCTCACATGCTCGCATGGGTACTATGTCTGCCCACCGGGATAAATCGGTCCACACGCCCCATCCGTTGAAGCGTACCAACAGTGGGTCGACGGCACGCCGATGTCGATCCCCCCCTTCCCCCCTTCGGAGCATGTAGTCTAAAGGTTGAACTCAAAGCAGTGCGCGGTGCCGAAGCTAGCGATCTGAGCGGATGTTGGAGACTAGCTTGCCCCTTTTGTGAACCCACACCAATTGGTGTGATGCTCGAGCTGCTCCAACACCGTGGACCTGCCGTAAAGAAATCATGAGCCCCCCCCCCCTTTCTTTTGGGGGTAGCCATAATGGTGGTCGAGTAGATCATGTTGTGCGGGGTCGAGAACCCTCACTCCGCGCAAGGGGGATGATCGCACCACGTTGTGTTGAAATGGTCACGCACCCTCGAGGCAGTTACACAGTGCTTACAAGTGTCGCAGGAAGTGAAATCTCCATCAAATAAATTAA